CAATCTTGTTTCCACGACGGCGTTATCACTTTTCTTCGTGACCATTTTATTATCCTCTTTCATCGAGTCCTTCCTCAACAGCTCCGCAAAAGGGTCAAGATTCATACGACCGTGGAGGAAGAGGTGTTTGAGGCAGAATATGAAGGTTCATTCAAAATCCCGGATCTCGGGATCTCCCTGCGGAAGAATGACAGTCCTGAACGTGAACTTCAATGGGTGCTTGAGGTTGGTTTCTCTGAAACCTATGAAGACCTTCAGGAAGACATGCGACTCTGGCTCACTGGTCAACCGACATGTTCTATGGCCGTTCTAATCAACATCACGGAAAGTCCAGCATACCGATGCCCACTTGATTTCGACTTGGATATTTGCGATGAACTCAATATACCTCGGGATTCGCCTCGTCAGATCAAGGAAGGAGACTTCTCGCTTCAGGGGGATTACGGCCCAGTAGAGTTCAAAGGATACCAGTGGGTAGGACAAATCTCAGAAGTATATCTTGAGACTTGGACTCGCAATCCGAGAACCGGACAACCAAGGCGAAGAGGAGGTCGCATGTCTTTACTCCCTCCAGCAAACGAATCTCCTCAATTTCGACTCTCCGACCTTGTCCCCGTTGACGACCCTCAAATGACAACCGTGGATTGGGAAGAACTACAAACGGAGCTCAAGGACTGCCTTCAATTACAGGCTGCCAAGAGATGCCGCGCATGGATCAAGGAATGCAGAAAACGTGCAGGGTTGGAAGACGGCGAATTTGACGGGGCTTCGTGAGGGGGTTTTCCAAATCGATGTCGGGTATGAGGAGGGGGAGGTAGAGGAGTCTCCTGATGACGCTGGGGGTTTTATTTTTTTTTTTTTTTTGAGCCTCGAGCGTGCACTTGCATTAACAGTGCTACTCCCGCCAAGACATGCAAAGGCAAGGGCGACCCCCAAGGACGCGCCTGAACAGAAATACAACGGCCTCCTAGGATATATACACTTCAGGAAGCCGCCATCGAGACTCAGTATATAGCCCAGGAGGACACCTTGCGGAACCAGTCAGAAGACGCACCTGGGCTATACGAATCGTAGCTAATCGCAACCACGAGGTACCAGGAACAGGGGACAGAAGGTGCTCCTCTATAAGGAAATGCCTTTGAACAATTAAAAACAATCAATCAGGAGGTGCCCGTAAAGGCACGCAACTACTCGGTACGAAGCGAAACACAAAAAGGAAGAAAAAGGTAATAGGTTTTTTACCGCAGAGGGGTTTCCCTATTCTATTCTGTATAGGTAGTACCCCAACATAAGCTTTATAGCTTTTAGGTGTAGGAATATAAAAAAAACAGCGCTACTCAATCCTTTCTTTTCTTCCTCTAGCAACAAGCACCTCACTGTACTTGAAGCAAAACTCTGCTCCTTCCCCCCCGCCCCCCTCCGTCATTCCCCGCGTCATGCATCAAGCGACTTTGGCTGCTCTGTGAGCACCTCCGGTGCTAGGACCTTGTCACCCGTGGTCTCGGCGAGATGGATGTCCTCGTACGCGATCTCGTCGCCGAACAGTTTCGGAATCTCTTCTAGCGGGAGGTTGCGCGTCTAGTTGTGAAGATATACTTGTTAGCTGGGAGGGGTTCTGGACACAGCTACCCACAAACACACACACGGAGAGAGAGAGAGAGAGAAAATAAAATCAAGGACAGCAACGAGGCAAGGCGGCACTTCAACAATAAACCTACCTCGGGATAAAACACGAGGACGACGACGAAGCACAGAATCGAGTTGGCCACAAAGACCATGTAGAATTTCCAGCCAATGTTCTCGAAGCCGATCGGCGCCGACTGCGTCCAGCAGATGGTGGACGCGTAGCACGCTGCGAAGGCGATGCCGTTGCCCGTGCCGCGGTTGTGGTTAGGCCAGATCTCGGCAGCGTAGACCCAGGACGAGGCGTCGATGAATGTGCCGTAGCTCTGCGGTTGTAGTTGAGTCAGTCAATCAATCAATCAATCAATCGATCGGTCAAACGGTCAAGCAGTCAGGAAGAGGCAGAAGAAGTTCAAGAGCTGGCATGTCTTACAAAAGCGAAGAAGTAGAGGAAGAAAATGGCTCCTCGGGCATATGACTCGTTGCCCGTGTCGGTGAACTTCTTCAACAAAGCCCCTTCCCCGGCGACGCAGACGCAGAGCAGAAACGATCCGATCACTTCATTGTGCCGTATGGTCAGCCATTTTCTATATCTGCCTCGTCCTCTTCCGAGCGGGCGCGGGAAAGGGGGGGAGAAGGAACAGGGGGGTTTCACTCACGGAACATGGTCTTCCGACCAAGACGATCGATCAAGAATGGTGCGACGGCGTTGAAGGGGATCGTGACCGAAATCCATCCGGCTCCCAACAGCAGTGCGCGGCTCCCGGTGTATCCGAGCGCGTTGTACAGCTGGACGCTGTAGTTGTTGATGACCAGAATGCCCATGGCCTGCGAGCTCCAGAGGATGAAGCATGAGAAGAACAGGCGTTTGAGGTTCGACTTTCGAGTGACGATGCCGAATTTCCCTTCCTTTCGCCGAATTGCCTCGTCGAGTTCGTACTGTTTCTTGATCTCGACGGCTTCCAGTCGTGCAAAGTGGTCGCTGCTTGCCGCGTCGCGGTCTGGATGTAGTCGTGACAGGAGACGGATCCCTTCATCCTCGTAGCCGTGCTCGATCACTAGTGGGGAGAAAAAAAGTGCGTGTTAGGCTGTGAACCAAAGAAAGAAGACACGAGACAACAAGGAGAACAGAGCCTCTTGCTTACACCAACGAGGTGACTCGGGAATGATGAACGACAACCCCAGCATCACCACAGCCAACATGCAGCCAACGGATATGGGGAATCGAAAGCCAAAGGTGCCTTTGTCGCTGGCAAAGAAGCAGCCGTATCCGACCCAAGACGCCAACGAGTAGCCCCCGGCGGAGAACACGCCCGCTTGGCCGACGAGAAACCCGCGGAAGTGCGGCGGGGATATCTCTGACTGGTATACCGGGACGGTGGAGAAGAGCGATCCGGTACCCATGCCGGTGATGACACGAGAGACCTGGTACATGGCCACGTTGCGGGTCCCGGTCTGCAAGGCGCTGCCGATGATGATAAAGAACAAAGATATCCACATTGTCTTCTTCCGCCCTACCCTGTCTCCAATGGCCGTGATGATGCAGCAGCTGACGAATGAGCCGAGAAAGTAGAGAGCGTTGGCAGTCGAGGTCACGGATGTGGTGTGGGACGTGCCCATGGTCAGGTCGAGGTACTCGTAGAACGTTGGCTGTCCCAACGTGCTCGATATGACGGCTAGACGAGTTTGTTAGCGAGAGAGCATATGCGATGAGGTTGCGGCAAGCACATCGAGGTCATATATACCCATGTTGTATGCACTCGCAAAGATGCCAAACCCGGCCAACCACACCAGGTACATATTGTACCAACTCCACGTCTCCATGTTGGGCAATGTAACGACGAGAGGCCTTCCTTTTCGTCGACTTGGTCAATACAATGAGGTGGCGACAGCGCTAAAGGGCTTGAAAACGAAGCGTAGCGAAAAGATGGTCGTCAAACTGGCACACTTTGTATCCTCGGGGGCAATAGCAAAAGCTGCAAGAGTGCAGAAAACAAAAAAGAGGCTGCGATTGTCCCACGATATATGTGCTAGTACATACTCTTTCCTCACGGCCCCAAAGCCGAGGTCAGACTCGGGCCAATTGCGCCACGACGGCTCCTCGTGGGGGTAACAGACATGGCTACCAGTGAAGAAGGCCGTTTAGCCCAGCGGGGCCCCAACTTGAATGGAGTTGTTGAGCTATTGCGCTGTGTCGCATGGCCCACAAGTTTCCACCTGGGATGAAGCAAGGTTGGAGAAAGAGCCTTTCTAATATACTCCAGCTGGTGCGGCCGGTATTTCCCGGCGCCAATACATTCGGTTATCCGTTTTCGACAACATTTTGCCGACACTATTATAAGAATAGGCACCAATGAACCGAATCAGGTTCGTCAGACGTTGAACCGGGGACGAGATATCACATCCATCAAAGGGGCACGGGTACTCCCAGTTTGTAATTAGTCGCCGAGTGCTCGTATCGAGCAGGCGCGTCGCTTAGAGAGTTTCGTCAAGAGATCCTGCTCGTAAACCTTTTTACTCAAGGCGCTCGGTTCTCGGATAGAGTCCGTATTCGGAAGTGAGCCGAGAGCCAATGGGAAAAGAGGGCGACAAAATTGACCAATCAGAGCAAGGCTTTTTTAAGTACAAGCTTCCCGTGTGTACGGCACTCTTGATCGCTTGTGTGCGCGATCCTTGCACCAAGCTAACACCTCAAACGTGGCAAACAGGCCAAGAATTGACGGTGCTGCCTCATTTATCCAAGATCTAAAACGGTCAAACACACCAACCTTCACTTAGACGCCACAAGACTGTCTTCGCGCGGAGGTAACAAGATCCCATATTGTGGGCAACTTCCAGCCTTAGATAGACGGCGACTTCAACGAAAGATCAGGCCAGGCAGACTTCGTTAGAGTAAGGTGGAATGATCCGTCTGGAGGGCTTCGCTTTTGTTCTTGGGGTTCCCCTCCTACTATGACCGACGGAGATTTCTTCAAGGGCCGATTTTCAGTCTCTGGCCAATATTCCGACCATGGGCATTGCGAGTATGCTTCCATCGAAGCGGGGACCGGTCTCCTCTCTCCTGACTAGACCTTTAGTCCACCGAACGGCAAGCAGAATGGTTCACGATATCGTACAGCCAATTGAGGAGCAGACCCTCTCACGGTACCACCAGAAACTCCATTACCCAGTCAAGATTGGAGACATCCTCAACAATCAGTGCCGAGTTGTCACAAAACTGGGCTATGGGGCTTACTCCACCGTTTGGCTGGCTCGAGATGAGGTGTGGGTAGTTGTTGTCGTAGGAGATACAAGAATCAACTAACATGTCACCAGATCCAAGCGATATGTGTCGGTGAAAGTCTGCGTGCAGGACACAGAAGGCTCACCGATCCTCAATGAAGAGTCACGATGATCCCAGCATCCCAGTCTTGACTGACCGTGGCCTGATCTACGCAACACGACCCATGACTCCTGAGCTTTCCGGCGCCCCCGTGGTCACCGACTTCGGCCAGATGCGACCCATGCTGCCGCTGAGCACTGACTGGTGGATGCCAGACCTGGACCGAGCACCAGAGATTCTCCTGAAGCTCCCATGGGGGTTCCCTGTTGACGTGTGGTCTGTTGGCATCATGGTACGCATCTCGGCCGCCCTGGCGTTATGACGCGCACATGGGGAGTTGCCGAGAGAATTACTAACCAATAGAGAGGGTAGATGCTGGAGCGCCTCGAAGGAAGAAACATCGTTGATCCCATCGACCGCGTCAACAACCATTATGTCCTGCCGCTAGCCCTGGCTCAGTACATCGCCTATCTGGGTCCTCCGGCCCTGGCCATCGTCGAGCAGGTAACTGGACATCCGAACCACCAATCCCCAACACATCATTCGAAGACTTTGTCACCGTTATCCCTTCGGGCGAAGAAAAGGAAACGTTCTTGACACTGATTCGAGGCATCATGACCTGGGATGCCGAGGCGCGATTGACAGCAAACGAGGCATTGCTCCACGGATGGATGATGCGGGCTTACGGGCAGATGCTCTGAGTCCAAGGGCACATGGATATCTAAGCTGTCTCTTAGCTATAAGTTAGAACTAACAGGCGGCGACCTAACCTATATTCCCAGGCGTCGAGCATTAAGTTCTGATATCTCCGGGGCGGTTCTAAGGGGCAACGAAAAGAAAGCCTGACGTCTTTTGATCAGCGCGTCCGCAGTCATCACTGTCCACTCTTACTAGCGTTAACAATACTTTTCGTGCGCGCCTTGGTATCTATTGTCAAGCCAATAGAACAACCGTCCATGTCTATCTCCCACAGAGATGAGAGAGTCTTCGTCGATGGACGGCGCCTTGTCCCCTTTTTTTCTCTCTTTTGGATACTCTGTAGGTTAATGCCCGCCGTTGAGTTTCACAACCGCCAAAGAACAACGTGTAAATGACAGTAGGCGCGATTGTTCTCCCAAACATAGTCAAATGTCAACATTAAGCGCTAGCAATGAGCTAAATACTTTGGGCTACCTTGGGCTATCAGTGTTGCAGACTAGCAGACCATGACCATCGCGTGATTGCCGGGACCGAAATTAGGCCAATGGGATACAAGCACACGTCGAGACGGGAGAGTGGAAGTGAGTGGGGGCCCCCTCAATCATTTGATCGAAGCCAAATCATCACTAACAGCTCAGCTCAGCAGCTTGTTTGAGGCCAAGGGTGCGGCTAAGCCCAGCGATGATTGAGCTGGTCTCCTCATAAACCTGGGCGTCCCTGATTTCCTCATCATTGATTTCTTCGTACCCGTCCTCGTCCTCATCCTCATCCTCATACTTGATCTCCTCGTACTCATTTTCTGCATCTTCAATCTTAATCTCCTCATACTCTGGCTCCTCATCCTCTATTGTGCTTTTCTTGATGCCTGTGTCGCTTTTCTTATTCTCGATGCTACTTTTCTCAGCTGCCCGGCGCCTCTTTAATTCGAGATATTCATGAAACCACATTTCATCGTCGTCAAGTACGGCATCGTTGGGATTATTAGGATCTCGTCGCCTAAGGCCGAGAATGGGAGATCCGACTGGTTCTGGAGATGCGACCTGCACTGCTGTCCCCTCGGCGCGCTCCCCACAACCTTCTGGATCACAATAATACTGCAGTGTCGCGTTTTGATCGATGCGCAGATACAATAATTTGGATGAATCAGATCGTAAGAATGCTCGAAAATGCTCGAAAACCGTGTACGCGAAACGGGCGTAGAGGAAATGGGTATGGAAGCCCAGGTCACGCATTCGAGGTAATTCCACTCCGTGGTGAAGGCGAACAAGCTCAGAATCAGGATCGGCGTTCATGCAGTAGCACACCCAGCGGCTTTTCATGGGCACAACGGTGAACATCTTCGCATCAAGCGCGGCCCTTAAGCCCCCACCCAACCGCACACTATTGTCTGGATCTTGCATCTTGTCTCGAATCTCTGTGGCAGAATATGTCCACATGTACTTGCTGAACCACCTCCTCTCGGCCATTGGAATCAGATGTGTATCTTCCATGTCGTCCTCGCATTGAGTGGCGCGGCAAAGGCTGTCATCATCTTGTGCTGATGATTGATTGGAAGCCACAGTTTCATTCCACCAGTGGGGGGGACCCTTGGTTGGAAAGGCCCACTCGCTAAACGTCGGGATAACAGCATAGTTTGAACCTGTTCTGTTTAAACATGAAACAACTGATCCGGGCGTCACACTTACCCCTCTTCTGTGGTGATGTCTGATAGTAATATTGTGGCGCTCTCAGAATCTTTTGTGCATGTAGAATACGATGTTCACCCTCCTTATCCAGTGAGAGATAACCGGTCCAACGATTGTCATCGATAACAGAGCACGCCGCCCAGGCCGTGGCATGATGAACGCCGCCTTCATCCAGACGAGGGAAGGTGAACATAGGATGGTCATGGTAGGGGTGCTTGATGTGGATAGGCGGTGAGGTGGGTAGAAGTGACGGCGGCGGATATGGAGACTCGACTAGTCTATCGCTCTCGGAGTTGGTCATTCTGGCTCCGGTTCAACGCTATTGTGACTATCCACGCTGACGATGTGGGTTCGTACCAGAGCGCGGGCACGGCAGACACCGGATGGCACAACAGCGCAGGCACCAGAGCGCAGGCAGCGCCAAGCCCAAAACCTGCCACGTGATCAAAACTCTAACTGCCCCTCACACCGGCACCTCGCGCATATCGCTGTTACACATTAATACCAGCCACATCAAACAACGGGACCGAAGGAGAGGCCGTTCGAGAAAAATATCTCTGGAACTGACTCGTCTGAGAGTCTCTAGGTACTGGCGGTCCTAGAATTCATGCCATCGAGGATACCGCCTGTCCCTCGCCAGCTCAACTCGGCTCACAGCACTACCGCTCCGACCGCAGCACGGCGCAGCGCAAGATGAAGCTGATTCTTTCAACCTCGTACGCATTGAGCCCGGGCCCCCCAAAATGACCTCATCCTAACAGGTGAAACCATTGCTGACATTCACCGTCAACACTATCTAGCAATATAATGTCCTCGGGACATTCCGTCGTGCGGCGGCCACTGTTCTCGCGATCAAATATCGAACTTATCAATTCCCTCCGCGCAAATTTTGCCTCCTTCAAACATTACTCTCCCACTCACCCTTCCGCACCTAGTGCGGCCGAGAACTTCACACCGCCCGTATGGACGACTCAGGAAAATGATACCCTCTATGTGCCGTCGTTGCGGCCAACGCCCCTCGTTGAACCCCGCGACTCGTACGACGTTACCTGCAAATTATTCTTCCTCCCCGGCATCCCGAGTACTCGACGGTGCCGGCACACCCGAGAAGCCATCGATTTGGTCCTAAAAGAGCTGGGGATTGACACTATTGATCTGTTGATTGTTTCATACCCCGGGGTGACTTTTGACGCAGACGACGAAGAGGGGGACGAGGAAGCGGAGCAGGCTTCCGCAGACGAAAACCCCAGTGAGGCCAGCGACGAGTCCGAGGGCTTGGAAGCGCAGGTCAAGACCTGGCAAGTACTAGAATCGCTATATGACAAGGGCGTCATCTCGCAGCTGGGTGTGTCCGAGTTTAGCTCGGAGAGACTCGCGAGATTTCTACCAGAGGTCCGAGTTCGTCCCAAGGTCGATCAGATCAACGTCAAGGACTGCTGCGTCGTGCCCAAGTCGCTGATCATGTACGCAAAGGAGAACAAGATTGAGCTCTTGACACACGCAGACTGCATGGACATTTTACCGCCCGGGACGACGAGGGATTTACTTGGGCCGGGTAATGACGGTGCTGGCATTCTGGCTGCGCACCCTGATGGCGGACCCGAAGAACCCGGCTTGAAGGGCGATATTGAGCCACAATGGGTCATCAAATATACCGCCGTGGTGAAAAACCGCGGCGTCATCGAAAACAAAGGGTATTTTGCCGTCGCGCAACTGGGAAGCTGTATCGAGGAGAAGCCGGACCAGGATGTACTAGCATCATGAGCCCTCGAGCATTTCCCTCCGCAAGGTGATAGTTAAACATGAGCTTTATTTAGCATGGCGTTGAAAGAGGCAACGATTTGGCGCCTTCATTTCATCCGATCATGCTCCTTTTCCTGCCTCTCAACCTCACTTCCTCCAATCTTTTGAGCACGACGCTGGAGCCCTTGAAACTGCCCCTGTATCCTTCCTGACTCTGCAAGACTTCGGCATCAAACCATCCCTCCTGTCTCGGGTGCGTCGATCCAAACGCCCGCTCGAGGACATAGAGATCCACGGCCCTGTCTTCGTCCTGGACTGACTGCGTCGCAAGACCAAAGTCGATCAGAACAATCTCGCCGGTCAGATCGGGCGGTTGCAGACGCGGTGCGGCTGTTTTTTGCTCAGATCGTGGACCCTGCTCTGTATACACTCGCTCGCCGTTGACCGTCCCGTTCCGCTGCCCGTTTATGTCGTGTGGAGAAGTGTAAGGACGGATCATGATGTTGCTGCTCGTCAAATCACCGTGGACCACGCCTCCTTTGGCGTGCATCGCTCCCACGGCCCGGCCGATGCGGCGCAGCAATTTCTTCACCGCCTCTTCCTGTTGCGCAGCAATCCCGATGCCGCGTCGTGATTGTTCGTCGTTATCTTGTGCGTTTGCCTGGGCGTGGGTGGGAAGGGATTTGGACCAAGCGTCCCAGTCGCGCAGCAGGTCCTTGACGCTGCGCCCTTCGATCCACTCCATGAGGAGCCACGCGCCTTGTCCCACGGCGGAGCTCGTCTCCCTCGGTCCTCGCTGCGAATCGCTCGCCCCACGGACTTTCCGCGCAATGTCCCACTCCAGGCTCAGCACCGCGGGGACCTTGACTGCGCCGTCCTCATCCCCGCCGGCGGCGTCGTTCAGCGCCGACAACTTGACGAGGATGCGCGCTTCGGCGAGCACCCTCTGCTTGGTCAGGCGCGCGTCGAGCGTGGGGTGTCTGTATGCTTTGCTCGGTCGGAATTTGAGGGCCGCAGGCTGCGCCGGGTACAGGAAGTGGGTGCGGTACAGGAGGGCCTCGGCGCCTTGGGTTACCAGCATCGGCGGTGGTTCCGTGACGTGGAATGGAGAAGGTAGGATGGGCCTGTCTTGGTTCTGTGGTGCATGAGGGCCGGCGGGAGGCAGGGGATTTGCGGCGTCGGTGCTTGTCATGGTGGGATGTGATGTGGCTCAGCGTGATATGGAGCGATTGTCGCAAGGGCGGTCAACGGCCGGATGGTATTGGGATGGGCATCATTGGAGATGAATAGTGGCTCACCAGTGTGATTGATATGTCAAGAACCCATTTCTAGCGATGAAGAGAAAATTGGTCGCGACGGAAACAATGCACGAGTTGAGTTTTTCGAGCATGTGAGGCTGCGGGGAAATTTCCCCAAGGCTAATAAATAATATGTACCGAGTAGTCAACTAATATTGAACATGCTATTCTGTGGTCTAGCCTTTCGCGTTCATTAGCGATGAGCTATATTGATCGGCTCGGTCAGCTTTCTCCTCTGCAAGTGTCTCTACTCGAGCCATGTCTCTCTCGTCGTCGGTGTTGAGTTCCTCTTTCGATAGTGATTCGCGCTCACTCCAAGGTCTGACAGAAAGTTGACGCGCTCCCAATAGCGATTGAGGCGGGCGCCAGATTAAATATAGCTTGAATTATTAATAAGGATAGAGGTGCTACTATACCTAATGGTAGTTACCTTGAAGTTAATAGTGAATTGCTCTTCATTGCTATTTCTTGTTGGACAATGCTACTTATTTTCAATATCGACTCGGGATGTTGTCAAGCATCTCGGTAGACTTTCCGAAGATATTATACTCACGTGATCGAAGCCAAATATAGTAGGTCTAGGAGGCTCAGAGGGTTTGGACGAGAAGATCCGGTGTGAAGCCACGACAATCGCCTGGCTTTCTGAAAACTGCCCTCAAATACCGATCTATTGCCCTTGGAGATTCGGACTTCTTGACAGGCCCAGTGTATATCCCATAATGATGGATATATTGAGATATTTGGCTCACCTAGCTCTCGTTTACGCCCGTTGCACATCTCCCTGGTACAGGCGAATCATTGAAAGCTCCAAGCGGCACTGGGACTGGCTTCCGGCAACGGTAGTGTAACGTTCCCTTTGTCCCACGCCAAGCTGGACTTTCATTGAAGTCGAGCTACCTCCTCGTGGATTTCATTGAAAAGGAACAAGGAAAGAATGTAGAATCGATTAATGATACAACATCACTTGCATCCCGGACCTTAAATGGATATCAATTCTACCAGTCGAGGCACTCTATCTACCATATTAGCTGAGCGGCTAGATAGTCGACGATCTTGAAGAGGAGAAAGAGAACCACTATAAAGAGATGTGTGCGGAGTTTCTGGAAATCTTCCAGCAAGGGGAAAACGACTAGATCTCTGCACCGAAACCCGGATTCTATATAACAGCTATTAAAGATGCTCTTGACAGAGCCATACCCTGGTTCTGGGTCACTTTGAACCACCCCCGTGTGACGTACAATCTGTTCCTTGACCGCTTGCACGCCTGACTCGCTCCGACGCACTCAGAAGGAGAGGAATGTGTCCAGTTCGAGCAGATTTTGGCTCCGTATTGGACCCCGAATGCATCCGGGATTCGTCAAGCAAAAGCTTGCTGACCGTCAAAAGTATCTTGAGGACTCGAGAGCGCAACATCGGCATCGATACCTTTGACACAAAGACGAGGAACCGTCTGACTAATTATACCAGACGGAGATATTTTCTGATATCAATCTAATTACTTTTTATTGCGACCGCGTCCATTGCAATGAGTTATACGAATGAGGTATACGAATGAGGTACGACGCATGAGAATGACAAATTATACTATTTCAGAAAGTGGGGTGTAATGCAGAGTACTAACCGAATCACGTAATAAACTAACTATCAAGAGTCTGGGAGAAAACTCTAGTTCTTACTCCAGCTAGTTAAAACTACATGCCTTCCTTGCCACGACCTTACGCTTGTGAAGGGCAAACGTCCTGCCTGACTGCAGTCAAATTTAAACCACACATGAGTCATGGCTTTCAGTCTTGCCAACACCCTGACGATATCGAGTGGACTGCAAACACTGCAACTGGCATATATCCATTCCGACCTGTCTGAAACTTCACATTGCTGGAATGAGGTCAAGGAGAGATGGTGAGAAACAATGCCGAGGATACTGGGTATGTGAGATTTGAGGTCATGCCAAGCGAAATGCGCCAAGCAAAGAATCACGTGCGAAACCTTTTTCAGGCTAGTAAGCAAACCTTGTTAATATAAAGCCCCGTCTGAGAGTGGTGAGGCAAGCATTTTTTGATGTTTTACTTGGTGTGTTATTTCACTCGACCTGTCGCGGGAATATCTTGCCCATGAGTCTGCCGCGAGGATACCTTGCCTTTGAACGTGTCGGGGATATCTTGCCTTTGAACCTGTCGCGAGGATATTTTGCCTTTGAACCTGTCGCGAGGATATCTTCACCTGTCACGGGGCTATCTTCACCTGTCGCGGGCTGCTAGTCCCGTTTTCACTGGTCTTTCTCACAACAGACAAAGATGGAAAGAAAACGCCAAGATGATGCTGCAACAACGCCGCCGTGCTACATGGGCGCTCTTCCACCAACCCGTCCCTCAACAAGCGAGAAGGCATCGATTAGTCCGATCTTGGAGGCGGTTGACCGATACAAGAGAGGCCAATTCGTCCCCGGCGGCCGCTTACTGAAATTTCACATTAGTGAGCTCGAATATCAAGAATTGGAGGAAAAGCTTTCTGAAGACCTGTTCTTCAAGGCTAAGATCTCGTAACTGACTCCTCCATTCCACAAAAAAACTACTTACCAAAGATACAGGCGCGACTACTTTCCTTCACTACGCCTCTTCGTCCTTCGAATACCGTCGGATATTCACGAACGCTTCCTTGTGAGGCTTCACGATGAAATTCGACACCAACTGCGGAACCTCGAGGGACCCTCGTCAAGCTTTGCTCAGGAGATTGAATTCATTGCCTCAACCACCTTCAATCCCACAAGAAAAGGGCTTGGGGTACACGATCCGGATGGTTCATTTCGCCATAGGTCACAACGTTTCCCTGGCGTAGTGACGGAGGTCGCATATTCACAAGACCACAAAAAACTACCACATCTAGCGGACGAGTACATCCTGGGCTCGAATTTGCGCGTTCGTGCCTTGCTTGGCTTCGACATCCAGTACAAGAGAAAGCAGGCCTTGGTTTCGGTCTGGCGTCCACATGCGGTGCAACGAGATGACAGGGAGGTGTGGGCCACTGCGGCTGAGACCCAGGTGTTTCGAGACGACAACGGAGAGCCAAATCTTGATCCACATGCTGGACTACGTGTCAGCCTACGGGACTTTGCGAGTGTCGAGTTTTGCAAGAAGTTCGAGAACCTGGAGGGGTCAATTTTTATTTCATGCGCCACTCTCTGCACCTTCCTAAACGAAGCCGAGGCCAAGATTGATGACGAGTCAGAGTCAGAGCCTGACCTCGAACTCGAGTTTCATGCATCATCATCGGAAGAGGAACTCAACACCGACGACGAGAGAGATATGGTTCGGGCAGAGAAACATGCGGAGGAGAAAGCTGACCGAGCCGATCCCTCTTTCAAATAGCTCGTCGGTGACGAGCACGAATCATGTATCACTATCGGAAGAGGAACTTCATGTTACCCTGACTCTATCAGGAAGGTTAACCAAATAATCTCACAGCGGTACGTCAGCCTGTAGGCCGCGCTAGATAGATTTCCTTCCTACCAAGTAATTAATGAAGATTTCAAACTTTCACTCGCTATAAGACATGTCTCTGCTTTTGACGATGCTATGCGTAGGCTTTGCCGATACAAGAGCATCCACTCGTTCACATCTAACGATCGCGGGCACGTAGAAAGCAGAGCCTCCTTGACAACTCCACTTCGTCCTATTCTCACCGTCAAATGCCCGATGTACACTTTACCACTCAACCCCTGTGCTGTTGGAAGTCCTATGCTTTCGACAATATGGCGCCGATACATAATCCGGACTGCAGTCTCACGATTCTCTTCCCAGGTCCCAACTCCGCTCAGAATGCCATCAGCAGTGACGCACCCGCGGTGCTATCGTCCAGGCATTATGAGTGTTTGGTAATCCACAGCAAAAAGGTGAAAGAGTCAACTCAACTCTCAGATACCAAGTACAATGAACGAAAATCCAAGCACCTTTGTACAGCGGAAACGCAGATCTAAGTGCCAAGCTCTCAAAATATGTCGAGTAGTTACTGGGCGGGATTGATGTCCTTCGACGTTCGACATATTGTGTACGGACGAGGGTTGTAAGGTCGGCAGCGGGGTCTTCCGATAGCTTCTTCGTTATCTTTCGGAGGACCTGTACGCTGAATTGGGCAGCCGAGGTGAGTGGGTTCCCGACTTTTGGAGCCGCTTGCTGCTGTGTCGGTACTATTGTTGCCCATCGTACGATGCCCTTTTGCCCCGAACTATTAGGTAAGTTCCATGAAATGGAATACCTTGTGACCTACGAGGTGGTTCATCGAATAAGCCGCCATCTGCGGGCACTTTGAGTCCGAACCTAGAAGGTAAATCCTGGTTCGATAGCGACCACGGTGAGCTCAAGTTCTTCGTGATGTCTGGGTGTGCGAAACAGGTCTGTACATGCGACGTAAGCAATTTTCCGAGATCTGGTACCCTGGCCTGGGCGAGGTGAGCACAAGGCACCAACACCGCTGTCCCGAGCTGGGGATGAGACACGAGGGCAAATTGTGACCCACAGTAATCAATGCGACGGGCGTCTTCACAGGGCTGAGTTATAGCTCAGCCTTGCTGACAAGGCTGAGTCAAGACTGGGATCAAACGGCGAGACGAGCTAGTCCGGAAACGGAAGCGGACTTTGGAAAAAAGGTTACGATTCATCTGCGCTCTCCCTCGTCCCCTCTGGTGTACGTCATGCCATAAAATCACTACAAGAGATGAAGGGCGGCACCGAGTACGACGATTGTGATCTCGGAGGACACTGGCGACAGATTGCGGAGGAAAAGGACAAGGCTTTGCAAGAAGTTCACTTGTTGTTTCTTTAAAGCGGCATGAGATCAGTCCGTAAGAGGGATCGCGCAGCATGGGGCTTGGCACAAAATTCTGGGCTCCCGCCCGCAGTTTGTGAGTTGCCCGCACATGCGATCAAGCCCGCCATCGAGTCACAACTCTCACTTTCTTCTTCCGTTACTCACAAGGAGGTCTCACATCCATCCCTCATAATCGAAGCTATACCATCTGCACGCAGGAAGAGGGTTCCTCTGCGCCCACACCGTCAAAATGTCGGACCCCAACTCGCTGACGAATTGTCGCTTCTACGAGGAAAAATATCCGGAAATCGATAGTTTTGTCATGGTGAACGTCAAACAGGTAGGTCCCAGTGTCCCAAGTCCGCCGGCGGTTCTAACACGGTGGCTTGAACAGATTGCAGAGATGGGCGCCTACGTTAAACTCCTAGAATACGACAACATCGACGGCATGATCCTCCTCTCCGAACTCTCTCGAAGACGTATCCGATCCATACAGAAACTCATCCGCATCGGTCGCAACGAAGTCGTGGTGGTCCTCCGAGTAGACAAGGAAAAGGGCTACATTGATCTGTCAAAACGAAGAGTCTCGGCCGAGGACATTGTGCGTTGTGAGGAACGGTACAACAAGAGCAAGTCGGTCCACTCCATCATGCGGCACGTTGCGGAGAAGACGAAGACACCCATTCTGAAGTTGTACGAGTGCATCGGTTGGCCGCTCAACCGGAAATATGGCCACGCCAATGATGCTTTCAAGCTCTCCATCACAAACCCGGACGTGTGGAACGACGTGACATTCCCCAACGAGGTTGTCAAGGAGGAATTGATGACATACATCAGCAAGAAACTGACACCGCATCCGACAAAAGTGCGGGCCGACGTGGAGGTGACGTGTTTCAAGTACGACGGCATCGATGCTGTGAAGGCGGCTCTGAGGCAGGCTGAGGCAAGAAATTCTGCGGAAACACAAGTCAAGGTCAAGCTGGTGTCTCCCCCACACTACGTCCTCACCAGTCAGTGTTTGGACAAGGGCATGGGTATTCAGTTGCTCGAGCAGGCAATCAAGGACATTGACGACAATATCAAAGAAGCGGGGGGTGCGTGTGTGATCAAGATGGCCCCCAAGGCCGTGACGGAACATGACGATGCGGAATTGCAAGCGCTGATGGACAAGAGGGCACGGGAGAATGAGGAGGTCAGCGGTGATGAGGACGTGAGTGAGAGTGACGAAGGACCGGAGGTTGCATAAAGCGCCACAGGCTGCCTGCGGAGTCAAAAGACTGGTATGGGTTCCCAATTGGAGACAAATCATATCCTGAAGGACTCCCGCAGGTCGCTGTTGAGCAGATGAATGCCAGGGTTGAAGCAGAGGCGTCACATCAACCCACCTTTTGCTGCGGCAACTCATCGCTTCCCTATCAACGCTATGATTGGCGGTGAACTGTCTTCGGGGGTTCGCGAGTTCGTCGACATGTTGTTCTTGGGTGACATTCTGTCATTTTCCCAAACAGCACTCTCGAATCACGAGTGCCTCCCTGTCTGCGCGGTCGACCGTCGCTTCCCACGAGGCTGATGTTGCAGCCCATGACAGCACCGACTCAGTTTAATGACCCAAAAATTCGCATTTTGCAGAACTGGTTGAGGGAGTTTCCAGTCCCATTTTTCCATGTTTTGTGTTTTGCTTTCAAATAAACGACCTTGACAAAAAGATTTTGTTATCTTGCACGTAGCCACCGAAGGTTATCTGCAAAGAATACTAGAAGTGATGATATTTCGATCAGAAAACACCCCTTCATCCTTGAAGTTAAAGATTCACCGAGCAAAAAAGAAAGTGAACCCGGCCGGATTTGAACCGACAACCTTTCGATCTGGAGTCGAACGCGCTACCGTTGCTGAATGAGAATTAGCTTACATGTCATTTTCGGAGAAGTAGAAGAGTAAAACTCACCGCCACAGGTCCAGGGGTTTAAGACACGTATTCAGAGGCAAATTTGAGCATTGAGAATTATGAATCCAAAGTTAAGATGAGCGGTGGGCTGACAAGCCCTAACTGATATAGGTTTAGTGCGGTCACATGCTGATGACGTATGCTTGCTCCAGTGCCTCGGCCTTGGCCACAGTAGTACTCCTCCCGCGGAACACATAGATAGATTTCCTTGATCGTACACTTCAGTCAATTATTCTCGAGTCCTACATGTAGGTTATGACTTGCTTTTGCCCTACCGGAGGGACCGACTCAACCATGAACGAGGACCGCGTGAGAAAGACAAGAAGTCACAGGAAGCCACTCCTCGCCCGGAACGGGTGAGAGAGAGAGTGTTCCCTTTGTCCACTAAGCGTTGAGTCTTAGTTAGGATGGACTTCAAATAGAATAATCACATTGCATTCATTCGCCAATAATCAGTGCCCTAGGACTTCTCAGGTTTCCCCACCAGCTCAACCCGTCCTCCGAGAACTCGGGCAGAACATCCGACCACGTCTGACGAAGATTCCCGCTCGTCGTCCAGCCAAGGATACTCATGGACCAGCTTCCTCGAGCCGCCGGCTGCATACTCAAACCTGCTGAGCTCGAGAGCCGGCCGCTGCCTCCCGGTGCTTGTTTCACGGCCCACGACGCTGACGAACGCGAAGCGACGTTCTTCGGGTGGGAGCACGGAAGCCGGGTGCGGTTGCGGCGAATCCTCTGTGCAGGAGACCAGGTGTTCACCCTCCTCTATCGAAATCACTTTGGCGACCACACGGTCAGGCGCGACGAATGCCCACGAGTCTTCTTGCTTTGGGGCCTGGCGTATCAGCCGTAGCGCCGCTCGTCTCAGTGACGGATCTCGGCACTTGGTCGCACAGAAGTACAACGGTGGAATGAGTCCAGGCTCCAAGCTCAACAACAGCGAGTGAACCTTCGTGGAATCTGCGGCCTGTCGGAGGCAAAACATGGCGTGCTCGACGATTTCGGCAAAGTGGCCCATGTATTCGTCAAAGGCCATCTGGTGAGGGCTGAGGCATGCTCCCACAGATATGTAGCAGACTGCCCAATACGTCAGCAGATACGAGTGTATCAGGACGCTCTCCAATTCCAGTGTTGTCTGACTCCTTTGAGCAGTAAAAGAGGACTTCCACTGCTGCAGGTCATCTAACAATGACAGTCGCTGGGACAGGAAAAACATCTTCTGCGGCTCACTCTCTTCAACATGAGGCAAAAAATCCGCATGTCTGATGACTTCGTAAGACTGGTTCATCAGGCGATCAAATTGGAATCTTGCCTCGAGCAAAGAAGACGTAGATGACCTTGTCTTGAAGATCTCGCCAGCGCTGTTACTGGCACCCTGGTGACGGGATAGATCGCTTCCCAAAGTAGCAATCACAACGGCCTTTTTCAACACGTACGATGCGACCAGTTGGTGAACAGTTTGACTTGCGGGCGAGCTGGGTCGGGTATCGAGTAGCCTCAGATTGTCGGTAAGGATTCTAGAGCATCGTTTCATCAAGTCGTTTGCAATCTCGACGTTTCGATGATGATATTCCACGGATGCGAATAGGATGTAGCTCAACGCGACAACAGAGTCATCGAGATGCCCACGCTCGGCCAGTCGTCGAACGCTCACAATCGCTTTGTGATAGTATCTCAATGCTTGCAAATGCTTTCGATTGGTGATGCTGGTCAATGCCGCGGGGTCGGATGCGGAAATAGGCGACACGTATGGAACGTGCTCAGCCAAGGAGCTGAGGCACACAACGGTGTCCCAGACAAAGCCATATGTCTGGGCAAGTTGGGGGATATGCTGTTGCCAAAAGGTAGCCTCAACGGTTCCCGCAAATGCAGGAGCTGCGCCATACATGAAGTAGTGCCACGCACGACGTTCGTCCTCCGCGTGGTGAGGAGCGAGAAGAGAAACCATCTGCTGTGGACTGGGACTGCTCGACTGGCTGACCGGCCTATTCTGAACAAAGCGAATCTCTCGAACAACGGGGCCTTCGCATTTGCGGCCTGTTTGGGTGCACCTCCGACAAAATGGGGTCGTTTCGTCACATTTTACCCTCCGTACCTTGCAGGTCAAGCAGCCGTTTTTGGACTTCTCGTGGCCAGCGCGTCGTCGGTGCATGTCGCTGCTAGTGTCGAGTTTTCATTGGCTGAGAAAGTAGTCCTGCATGAGCCCGACTGATCGATCAGGGAAACAGGGCCAACGTAGTGCTGTTGCCAGACCGATTAAACGGCGGATGGAAGCAGGGGCGTCTGAACATACCAACCCATTCCCCGTTTCAGGCCTCAGTGGCTTCTCTCAGACGGGGCGTCCCAGATAGTCCGAGAGTCATTCATTCCAATGTCCAAATGTCCAGTACATGACTTGATCTCAGCAGAAAGAATGAGATGAGAAACGTGGTAGAACCAGGAATTATCACTTGTATCCACAGCCTTATCGAATCCCCATCCATCATTGGTCAGCTCGTTTACTCGAGCGTTTTTGGATTAGTCTCTTGGCAAGTCGGACAAGTTGCCTATCTCAGCCCCACAGGGCAAGTAAGCCGACCTGGACACGCTGCAAGCTGGGTGCGGCACTCCGGACTGAGTGACGAGGTGTTAAAGCACGCACGAATGAAGGCGATATCTATCAGTTTTCCCTGTCCGATGCTCTCAGATACCCTCTCTGCTGGCTGGCCAACACATGTGGCGGGTATTGAGAGCCGGGAGACCTCGCCGCCTTTCAGCTGTGCCAGGGTTGCAAACCGGTTTTCCTCGTCTGCGGGTGCGGGGGAGCTTCGGACAAAATGTGTCAATGAGAGGCTGGCAAAACCCAAAGTTTGACCTTCAACGACCACAACCCAGCTGAGGTCGCTCCTCGCCGTAGCGCACCGTCGATTGCCTACTTTCTTCTTCTTCTCTTCTACCTTTTCTCTTGTGTTCCAGAGGACGGGAGCTCGACAGTTACAGATTGATCAACAAGTAACGCCAAGGAATCCCCTCGAACGCGCCATAGGATCCCAACACATCATGGTCAAATGGGGGACGCTTCTCTTCGGAGCTCGCGAAAGAGAATCGCCATATCACCACAGTGAAACGAGGAGATGTAAGTTGGGCCCCAACCCTGTGTCACGACCGGAAACTTATCTGGCGCAGTGCTTCCCGCCAACAGCTCCGACCTGCCTCCCTCAGGCTTGCCGGCCAAAGAAGTCACCAAAGTCGCCCTCCGATTAAAGTACCAGATCGAGGCAGTCATTCCTATCGAGCTTCCCGAAGAGAAGATTGTCGCTGCCAACAGCCCCGTTATAACTCCGAAGGTGGTGCAGACAGCCAAAGAAGCGGGCGGGACTGAGTACGCTGGATGCGTGGTGTACTGCCTGCTTGTGTGCAAGAGATGGTTCACTAGACAAGCCAATCTGGAGCTCTGGGATGCAGACCTGCACCATGTCCGTGCTGTGGCTTGTGAGATGATCGCCAAACGCATCATCGAGAACGAGGAGGACCAAGAATACCTGATGCAGGAGATTCTCCTCAAGCGCTACTCGGTCATCCGCAAAGACGAGGAGACACCCCCGGCAAATGTCATCGAGAGGGCAGTCGACCTGCACTGCCTGATCGTCATTGGTTCTTCTGGCTACCAAAAGTGCATCAAGTACCTCTGGAGGGGTTGGATTCATCAAGACGACAAAGACCCGGGCAGATTTGTTTTCTACAATGACCGCGACAATACAAATTATTGGGTCCATCTGAACCCCGACCGCATGCGCACGCCCTTGTATCAGAACGCCCTTCAGATCACCATCTCGGTCCTCTATCTTGCCTTGTATACTGGGGCGGTCAATACCGTGAATGAAGATGGCGACCTTGACATCGTCGAGGGTATTCTCTACATGATGACATTGGGCTTCATCTGCGACGAAATCGGCAAATTTTGGAAAGTTGGCATTTGGTATTTCGGTTTTTGGAACGCCTTCAACAACTGCCTCTACGCCCTGCTCACAGCCTCGTTCATTATCCGCATGACCGCTCTCGGCCACTCCCCCGACGAGCATGACGACAAGCGGCGCGAACTCAACAGATTGGGTTACCACATATTCTGTGTTGCTGCACCCATGTTCTGGGCCCGTCTCCTCCTGTATCTGGACACGTTCCGCTTCTTCGGCGCAATGCTGGTCGTTTTGAAAGTCATGATGCGTGAATCCCTCATCTTCTTTGCCCTTCTCCTGGTCGTTTGCGTGGGTTTTCTCCAGGCCTTTATTGGTCTGAACCAAGTTGAGGGAAACAGCAGTATCACCAGCTTCGTCATCACCGCCATGGCCAATTCGGTCATGCAGTCGCCTGATTTCGAAGGCTTTGACAACTATGCCCATCCCTTCGGCCTCATTCTATATTACATCTTCACATTCGTCGTCATGGTTATCCTGCTCAATATCCTCATCGCATTATACAACAGTGCGTACGAAGACATCACCGAAAATGCGATCGATGAGTACATGGCCATGTTTGCACAAAAGACACTGCAATTCGTACGTGCGCCCGACGAGAATGTCTTCATCGCGCCATTCAACTTGATCGAGTTGCTTTTCTTGATCATCCCGTTTGAATGGTGGATGGATCCGCATCGCTATGAGCGATTGAACAACTACGTCATGGGCGTCATCTATTCGCCTCTGTTACTCATCACCGCTGGTCTGGAGTCTCTGGATGCCCGCACAGTGCAAAGCAACAGAAGTCGAGGAGAAGAAGATGACGACACGGTGGAAGAGTGGGAGGAAATGCCGCACGACCTGAACTTTGGAATGGAGGGGTGGGACACAAAGGTTCAGTCCACAAGACCGGTGGTCGAGGTTGACGCCGATGTCGTCGAGATAAGACAGCTGAAGGAGCAGGTTGATGAACTGCAGCGGATGGTGAGGGCGTTGAGTGTCGCAAAGGACGAACGCTGAACGCTGAACCCCGGTGTGTGTGCACCATGCTGAGGGCCTGACGGAGCTTGGAATTTGATCCGTGGTGCACTTTGTTACCAGATGTTTAACCCAGCTATTCATGAAGTTTTTAATGTCTATTCGTGTCGAACCTACTAGTTACCGAGCATAATTCTCCTTGTGACAGCCCAGATATCAAAGAGAACGCGATGTTGTGCTGGGATGCTAGCCAAGATGGCAAATTGGCCCAGACTGAAGGCCATCCATCTGCGGACTTTTGATGGCGGAGTGTCCGCCAGCCACCGCCTACCGCTCGCTTCCTTGAGGGAAACGGTTCACGTGCAGGCAGGATATCATCACAGATTTGTACCCAAAAAAATATTATCGAGATCCGCAATACACCCGTCAAATGTGTATGGTGGTGGGTGTCTCCTTTGTTTTGAGTTTTTGACGTATCGTCTTTCTTAGTAGTGGGAAGGGGGGGGGGGTTTCTGTCTGTTTGTAGTTACGAGGCTGCGGGGCCGAACGGGTGACCCCCGCACCCGCAAAGTCCACGCAGACAGACAGATGAACAACCCGGCCCAACCCAATTCAGGCGGCCCCTACTCTACTGACTGACTGGTAGCGGCCTGTCGCCCTGCTCGTGACCGCCGACAAGACCATACGGAACTTGTATCTTTGCTTACTGTCTATACGAGTGTCCTATGCACCAAATCTCTTCCAATCTCACATTTGTTCCGCCTCACCCTCCTCCCGTCTTCCCCTACCAAATACCGCACCCTGTTACCCTGGCGTCACATCTCCTTCGGCGTGGTCCGGGGGAAGGACCCTCCAGTTGCTCGCGAGACCTTGCGCCAGTCGCTCTGCAAATGCTGCGTGCGTACCAACCAAGACACACAATGCCGTACCGTGTCCTTTGCTTTGCACGGTTGTAACATCTCTAGCCTTTTCACCGAGCAAAGACCAAGCAAGCTGGGCCTGCTGGTACACACATAACTTGAATGTACACCACTACGATACTCGATGTGGAAAAGAAGAGTGACACTGTCGGGGATACTGGGATGATTTGTCCCACTGCTAGCCACCAGGGAAGTTCTTGTATGTCTGCATGACGGTGCTCATGCACGCTATAGGATCGGCGTATTAGTCTCACCCGAAACACTTCCTTTCCAAAAGTAATGCATCGCCAAGTCCTTCGTGAGGCCTCCATGCCTTTTGGAGAGGCTTCAGATTGGTCCATCTGATCCCTTCCACTAAGAGGTGAACTGCCAAAAGACCCGGGAATTCCCCCAAAACTCCTCGCTCGATATACTGACGCCAGGGCGCCAAACGTCCGACGACAACCACGTTTCGTTGCATCCTGGAGTTCCTTCTTCACTTCCTCTTCATCGACGGTGTCTTTGTTGCCTTTGAATCCCTTGATCGGAGCTTTCTCAAGGAAGCTGGCAAGGACACAAGAATCGTTCCATCCTCGTAACGGGCTACAACGGGGACATGTTGTGCATACAGCAACAGTTCCGGACAACGTACTCATGACCCTCTCATTGTCTCTGACCCTGAAAAATGTTATCCCGCACCTTCTGTGTAGGCTTAATGCGTCTCCTCGTTTGGCCATCTTCGAGTGAGTGGCGCGAATGCGCATCAGCCTGCACATTGGTGGGAACATCAACACGATCTTGCGGTGCCTTGCTCGTTGCTGTTGATGCGTGTCGTGCTCCCCGGCCTCGGCTATCAGGTGGCAACATCCTCCCCAATGTCGGCGTTCCAGATTGAGTTGGAGGTAGAACTTCCGATTCCTGCGCCCTCTGTGGATTTGTGACCGCCAGGCTATGGACCACCATCTCCCGGTACGCATCCAGTGCGGTGCAGAGTCCTTCCAGCCGTGCACCTACACCCCAGTCAAGAATATTTTGGATCGCTCGAGAAACCGCTCGTATGGCATTTGCGTCGTTGAGGAGATGGTTTGACAATGTTTCAACATGAAAGCTATGCAGCCCTCCTTCATCGGCTCTCAGCCAATGTACATTGATCCGAGCTAGCTCATGGTCCATCGTGACGGAGAAATACTGGGGCTCATGGTAATCGAATTCTTTCATTCCAAAACTGCGCTGTATTAAGTCGATTTTGCCAATTGTCGCAATAGCTCCAGCACCGGCGGCCTGGTTGGTTGCGATGTAGTGGGTTCCGCCTTTTGCCTGCGATTTAAACTCGACCTGTAGGAATGGAAATCGAACCTCACAGTCCGGGACGGCGTAGCTTTGGCCGAACTGGTCGTCGATGAGAAATGGAATCGTCTCGAGTTGGTCATCAGAGAAGGCTTCTTCGGAATATCCAAATACTAGATCGGGTTTTGGTCTAGGTAAGGGTAGCGGGACCGTTAGGGCAGCCGGCTTGAGCGGGACAGGGACGCAATCAGACCACAACTGGTTAGCACTCGATGCCAATTTGTCGTCGGGGAGCACATTCATGGCAGGAATGATACCTGGCGCGAAGGTCCGCGTGATATTAGCTTCAGTCTGGTTCTCAATCTTACGCGATGTTGCTACCAAGCTTTGAGCTGTTTTATCGTTCATTCCCGGAGATTTTCGTTCTGTGGATATGATCGTTCTTGCTCGCTTCATTAGCTCTGCCGGAGGATGGTCACGATTGATGTAAATATTTCGGCGACGCAAGCATTCTCGGTACTTTGAATCATGAACGTTTGCAGAGGGTCCCCCGGACTTTCTAGATGGGGTAGTCATGCGTTCAAAGGTATTGTTTGAGAAAGAAAAGACGGTCGTAGGTGGGGGGGCCATATTGTCCAATGCGGCAAGCTGGGGTTCGTCTTCTGTCGGCTCTCTGTGAAACCAGCTGGATCCATTCAACCAAGTCTCAATGAAGCTCTCTTTATCATACCCAGTCCTTGGGGCAGCGTGTTGCTCGAGCGCACGTGTAGGACGCTTCACGTTGCCGAGTTGTTCGTCTCCGGTAACCACATAAGGCTGTTGTTTAGCTATTTGGGTCAGTAACTTGATCCAACAAAGTAATGATGGCGACTGACTCCTCTTAGGTACTCCTGGTGCCGCGGGCGAAGCCGTAGGTTGGCCTCTGATCTTCTCTTTGGAACGATTGTCTTGCTTCGCTGCTGCTTTCTGCAAGTACCTCGTCTGCTCTCCTCTTGCGGCCCGTTTCTGGGTTGCAGATTGTTTCTCCTTTGGCCGCGGGCTCTTTAGGGAGGTCTTGGGGCTTGCACTTAGGGCTTGCTGGCAGTTCTGCTTGGCTGTAATGCAGTCAGTGACACAGTAACGACGCAATGAAGTGGATTGAAGGGCATGGAACCGACACTTCTCCTGTATTCTCTGGCTCTTCCGCTGGGGCTTGGTCACGTCTTCGCCCTCGTCTTTGTCTTGGGCAGCAGGCTGCTTTCTTCCTATGATCAGTCAGTCGGGTTGAATCGCAGACGATGAAGGGTGGTCCCTAACGGCTTGAACGACCAGGCTTGACCTGCTGGAGGCCAGGTTTGTCGTGGCCCTTTCGAGCTCCGTCTGTGTATCGCTTTGCAACACCTGCTGCCATACTGACCGGCGATGAATGATCCGTAGGACGTGCCTGGTATCTATAACCCACGCCGGAACTTGGAAAAGCTGTAAACTGAACCAGTGGAGTCGCAGAGGGCCAGATCTCTGAAGTCGAGGAGAGACATTGATCGGTTCAGTCGCAGTTAATGGAGGGCACGAACGGCTTGGCGGGCTCAAAACAGCCAAAAAATTACCAACACAACTGCACTTGATTTCCTCGACAACGACGATTCCTCGACCGCTGGGAAAGCTGGAATGTTGGGCCCAAGCGTCCTCCTGGAGACACTCGTTGCCGAGCCACCCTACCCGGCCAGGCATGCCGTTACTCGTTCAGTAGCTTAGCAATACCACCAGTAGTAGCCTTAGTCTATCTTCCGCTTCTCCCTCTCGCGTCACCGAAAGGACGTCGTTAGCAGTCTCTGTCACGCCATTCCAGACGGAGAATCCTGGTTCCGTCTTTGTATGACTGCATCAAGGGATGGAGGAAATCGAAGTAGCCTTTGAAACTTTGTCCCGAGTAATTATTGATCGCTCAAATTGCGCCTTGAATCTCCTACCCTCTTCTTCATTACGACGTCTTAACGCCCTGGCTCTTTTCAGCTGCCTTCTTCCGTGCCCGTGAGTCTTGTGCAACAGCGTACATGGTCTCTTCACGACTGAAGCTGCCATGATCGCTTCTGAATCTGCGTACCCTTCGATGGCGACCAGTGACATAACATCATCATCATCTCAATTCAATCTTCCTCGTAATTTTGGTGGCATAGGTCTTGCTTGGGTCGTCTCGTTCGAGTCTTCGGCGAGGTCGTTCGCATGGTCGTTCGCAGAGCAGTGGGACCGGATGTGGCAGTGAAGTTGTCATCTTGATCCTCACTGCTGTCGGACGTTTCGGCGAAGTAGTTCTCCGGTTCACTTTCAGGTGGTAGGCTAATGGTGATGTGTTCCTATACGACATGGCCTCGGTCTCGAACTGGATTCTCGAACGGAGAGCCAAGCCATTCTATAAGTGACCGCAGTGGAGAGGGTGTCGGCGTTTCGCCAAAGCGTCCCAAGAAGGAATTGTGCTCAAGGTCAAGGCTCCCAGGACCAAGTGACCACAGATAGCGTGCGCTTGTGTCTTCTAAACGTCGAAGTAATTCAAAGGTGAACAAACCCCGCGTCGCGTCGCGAAACCTTCCCCGTCCATAGCCTCGGCACCTTCGAATCTACGAATCTACCTGCGCAGCTCTACATGGGACTGAAGAACCCTCCCCTCCCCCCTGGAAGGCGGCGGGTTATAGCGTTCGAACGGCGTGTGGAGTTGGTCATGAGTGCTTCAATCTCAAGCCTTGCACGGCCGGGGATTTCCTTGGAATCCCAGGAATCCCCGTTGGAGTGAGATCTACGATAGCGGCAGTCGCTCCTTGATCCTCCAACAACCCTCGCTCCGTGTTGTACCATACATGAGTTGATCAACCCCTCGCCTGGAGCATTCGCTCACTGTGTTGCAATCAAGTCTCTATACTAAATGGCATAGTTATGAACTCACCTCCGAATACCGCAGATGATATTGGGCAGGGAACAATCGTACATGTCCAGTCCGTCTATCACGTGATGTAATGACAACGGACGCCCTTATTTCACGTGACTGATTTCGACCCTCGACGCAGCTTTGCCACCTTTTTTTCTCGACCAAATCAATCGTGTCGGGCAGTCTCGCTATTGCTGGCACTAACTCTAGGGAGGCTACGCGTCAGGTTTGGCGACTAGGATATAGGTTTTGCTACCGACGTGGTTACATGGCAGAAGCAACCAGGAGGAAATGTGGCGACAAGGCCAGGATGTAACATGATCATGCATTTCATTACATGGAAAATCATCAAAAGATTCGCTTTTATGGAGCTGACCATTACATTGTCTGATTTATCCTCAGGTATACCTAAATCCCATCCCTAGGACCTTTCCCCCTCGCTCTGCTGGTGCGTATCCAAGCAGCTAACCCAGCAGAGGGTCCCAACACCCCACGTACCCGAGTCATCGTACCGTTGCTAGCTTCCGCCAGGCGACACTGAGGGTGTGGGTAGCCCCTGCTCCTGGCGTTCTTCGTAGCGAGTCATCCAGTTCGGTGGCATTGCCACCACGGGAGTTGACATGATGAACACAGTGTCAGTCTCCAGGTAGCACGATACCGGGTCGCCGCCCGAGCCGCGGTGTTCTGGCTCGGCATCTTCTGCCACAACGTCCTTCAGTTCCGTCGCGCCGGCATCTTTCACTCGCTCGGGAAGCCATTTGACTTCGGAAGAGTTAACCCGCGTCATTGTGTGGATTATCAATACTGAGTGGATGGGAATCCGTTTCTTCACATTCACAACCGCTTCGACGGACTCGATGGAGACCACGTCGAGATGAGACGAGAGAACCAGGTTCGCTGCATCCGAGGTACAACTGGAGGAAGAAGCTCCCTCGTAGAACCATGCCACCAGCAAGAATATCGTATCTTTGTTGGGACCTCCTCTTGATCTTATCGATGGCAGCACTCTGATCTCAAGGACTAGAGCGTTCGCCTGCTGCAGCTCTTCATGCTCATCGAGATAATAGACCACAACTTGGTCATCCACACAGATCCCCGTCGTCGATTGGCTTAGCGTATTCAAGTTTTCCCAAGCGGGGAGGCCGCGCCTTGCACCCACTACCCGGAACGTTTCGGAGTCCTTCCGAGGATGGGTCTTGATCTTGTAGGAAGGGATTTCCGGCTCCAGGAGCCGTCGGCGGGTGGGGATGGATCTTGGAGAGGGCATAATTGGAACACGCTAGGTTCACTAAAGTGCTTATCAGTATACATCGTCTCCACATGGAAGTGTCGGGGCAGGCTACCGTCGAAGGAAACAGAGGGTGTCTAAGCCAACTACGGCCTAGAAAAGAAGGAGATCTGGAGATGCGTTGTGGATTGATGAATGGGTCTCCTGAAGCGACGGGGCAGCATCGACACAACCGCAAAACCGGTTTTCTGATTGGGCCAGTGACAGGGTTAGTGAGAAGCCGTTTCGAGGAAAGCCCAGGCAGACCTACCGGCGGACAAGCTAAACTGAAGCTTTCACCAAGCGTTGTCCACGAGTTGGGACTGAATAGTGCTAGAGTGTGGCACAAGAGGACCGGAAACCATTGGGACGACAGGAAGTTAGAGAATTGCACAAGAGAGCTTGAAAGGAGAGGAAGAACACAGAGAGACGAGAGGTGGCCGGTGACAGGAAGACGACCTGCGCAGGCTTCCCCGCAGATTTCGAGACTTAGTGTACAACTTGTCCTGAAGGGTGAAAGCGGTAACAAACACTGATAGCGAGAAAATTTAATCGGAAAATGTGCTTGGTAATTTGGCTAGTCCACTTTAGTCTCTAGCTTCGGGACGGACGACCAAGACATGAAATTGATTCGTCTCTGAAGCGCTACTAAAAGCATGCGCTACGCCTTTTCAGGAATATCCGTGTCTTCCCCTCGCGTCAAATGGCCTTAATTTTCCAAGGCGACCAACCCCTCCCTCCATCAACCTCCAGATATCATACTTTTGAATGCCCGAGGCACGATTACTATCTGCGCGAGCAAGCGCCGGCTGCTTCTGAGCATTCCCTCTTGAACCCCTTGAGTTGGCCGTCGCACAGTCACCCAGAACACCATCATTCTCAATTGATGGATTACAATGTCCGTCACACTCCCCAAGACCACCCCACAGATCCTGCCCCGTCTACTAGGACAGCAAAGAAGCCACAAAGACGCAGAGTACGATTCACTTCCGAATCTCAGGCCGGAATCACCACCCAACACAATGGGCAAGCCCAATCGCCCGTGCGCGTGGAACCGGAAGTGTCTCGTGTACAGCCTTTACAGCCACCAAATACACACACTGCGGACTTCTCGCCCCAGCCTTCAGAAGCCTTGAATGTCTTTACACAAAATGTGTCACGATGCCAGGCTGAAAGCTGCTGTATCCACTGTGCTCCTGAGGCGGTTGTTGTGTCGCCTAGAAACCCTGGCAACGCTAGAAGGCTGTATACCATTGTGCGCAACCATGCTGATCACACACAGCAGCCATATAGCAGTCCATTCGGATGTCCTGCCCAGCCACAACAGCCACATATAACAGCATCGGTGCATGCGATTCATGCATCGGTCCCCGTGGGTTTCGAACCTCCTGGTCAGACGCAACAAGCCGATTCTGGGGCACATGGGTATGCTGCTCGGAGCAGTGTGTCGTCCGCGATGATACCGCAACACACCCCTTGGGCTCAGCAGCCATGTGGCATGTCACGCGAATACGCAGGCCAGGCTCTGCAGGGTCAGTCACAAACAATGACACCCAGGTACACTGACCAATCTCAGCACTTGTACACTTCACCACCCGGACCGCCAAATATCAATCATGCACAGCAGCCACATGTCGTGCCACAAGGCAATCTCGATCATTCTCAGCAGTCGTATGATATGTCCACAGAAACCCGCGGTCGGCCGCAATATCACACCAGCGCTCAAGGAAGGTTCGTGGAAACCCGGCAGGCCGTCCCATCGACACCCACCCTCGGGACGCAATGGAGCACCGTGCAAACCAGCCAGCCTCAACAGACTTTTACGTCGGCGTCAGGCGTTTCGGGGAGCCACGGGGTATCTCTGCCAAACGACCACGTCCAATCTCCTGAAAGTCAAAGACCTCCAGACCTTCGGACTTGGCAAAGGAAACGCCCTGCCGAGGACCCCATCACCGCAGGAAGCGGAGGGCCCCCTGCTGCAAAGAGGCAGCAGCAAGGGTACATACCGCCGGAAGGATCCCAGCAGGCTCCTCGCACTGATCAGCGTCTGGCGATGTCATGCATGCGGGCCTTTCGGTCCCTGGACACAAAATTCCAAGACTTGCACCAAGCCTACTGCGACAAACGAGATCGAGACAAATGGGAACTATCCAAACGTGAACAGGAATTCAAAAGACGTCAGCCATCTATGAGAGGCGAGTATCAGCATGCCTTAGAGTCCGTCAGACAAGATCACGAAAAACAACGCAGGTATTGGAAGGTTGAGTTGCGCACAAATGAACAACGATGGAAAGGAATAGTCCAACAAGAGGACAAGATATGGAGATCCTCCTACGCGGAGCTGGACAAGATCTGGGATACCTGGGTGCAAGGCGATTTTCAAGACCTCGTCCGTCCTCAACTTGTGCAGTATATCCGTCATCTAGAATCCGCAGTCTCCCGCTTGGGCTCAAAACCCTCAGGTCACGTGCCATTACAGCGAGAGGCGCCTAGCCAACGACAACCCGCAGCTAGAACAACCACGACAGCATCACGGTCGCCACGGCCCCCTGATGCGGCACCGGTAATGCCCCTGCCAACGCGTTCCCCCAGCGCAGAATTTACAGTACCGCTCCCCGCACAACCCTCTGGCGCAGAGATGGCCATGCCGTCACCATCTAGCCCCTCCAGTATAGCATCGACAGTATCATCATCACCAACGTACTCTTCTACCCCGGCATCGACACCGCCTTCATCGCATATCCCTAGCATAGGACCGATAGGGCCGTCACCAGTATACGTTTCGAACAACATAGCACGAGCAATGCTCCCACCACCCCACCGCGATGTTGCATCCACAAGACCTCCATCAATGTATTCACCTGAGACAGCAATAGCAATGCCGCCACGATTATATCCTCTTAACACAACGTCTTCTGTACCACCTCTGGCACATCCTCCTATTTCCGCAGCAGCCATGCCACCACCAGCACCATACCCTGCTACGCAATCGACAATACCGCCCCTGCCATATCATCCAAGCCCAGCAATGTCTCCTCCGATGCGACCTTCTACCACAACAACAACGATGCCACCGCCGCCGCTCCCCACAAGACCAGCGATGGTGTCACCGCCACCACTTCCTAACATTGCATTGCCGCCGACACCACCTCCCGACCCTACAACTACATTGCTTGCGCCGCTGTGCCCAGATATAATCACGGCAATGCCACCATCTCCACCGCCCAACAGAACAGCCACGACACCGCCACCACTGCTCCCTGATATAGGACTTGCGAGGCCTTCATTGCCACATCCTAATAGAACAAGACCTCTGCCGTCACCACGCCATCCCAGCATTGTGACAGTAAAACCGCCTTCGCGATTCCCTCACCGCCCCGCCACGATCCCATCAGGTGCAGAATTTCGAGATGCAGAATTCCGGGGCGCAAAGACGATGCCAGCGCAGCCACGTTTCCACGAAGCAACTATGAACCCGCCAGGGCTATATTCTGACAGTGTACGAGCGTGTCAGGAGCCAGATTATTACAGGCCATCGACGATCCCTCCACAGCAGCACTCATACACGGCAATGACGATGTCATCAAAACCACAGCCCCCACGTACAATGGCGATGACGCCACAGACACAATCTGGCCCTCCGAGTGTTATTCCGCACAAGAGCCAATTTCGCAGACTTCAGGAGTCGAAACCGCGTCCTCCAAGCGCCATGGCGATGCCACCGCAGACACAACCCCGCATACTCACGGCAGTTCCGCTAAAAGGCCAACTCTGCGGACTACGGGAGGTGTCAACAGTCTCTCCGTCACCATCACCATCTCTCTCGCCGTCACTTTCTCCTCCGCCCAAACCACCACCGCGACGCCTCACGCTTCCCGCTGAGATGGAGATGGACATGGGCGCTGGCAATGGACAAATCGGAGGAAAGTGGAAGGGCAAAGCAAAAGATAAGGGTAAAGGAAAAGAAAGGGCAATGACACCGAGGGAGAATCTGGCGAGGGGGCCGAGGCGGCAGCTACCAGGCAACATGAATCTTGATGGTGATGACGATGACGACGACTCGTATCTCACGAGGATTACATGTGCTGGGTATTGATCATTCAGGGCCACCAGGGCGTCGTTGTGCTCTCTGGGCCGGGGGGCTTCTCTGAGTTTATTCACTTCAAAAGACTTGTTTGTTCGATTGGTTGTTTGGTTGATTGATATGCCTTGACGAATTTAATGACCGTGATGATTATGACGACTAGAGCGTGGACAATACAGAACTTACCTACCTACCTACCCCGATAATCTTGTTGTAATCTCATATTTAACGCTCGAATGACGAAGTACCAGCAGTGTAGTCCCATCCGATAGATGCCTGCCAGCCAGCCAAGTTCACAAACACCTCCGCAGGATGACTAATCTGCCCTCGCCGACAAGCACGGGAAATGAAGTTGTCCGTCTATAACTTTCATTCCACCAACGCCTGAAGGTTCTAGCTAGTCCAAGTAGACTTGCCATGTCAAAGCCTATCGAACGGTGTTACTTTCACAAAATTATATCATGGATTGCGGGAGGTGCAGGCAAAAGAAATTTCGGGGGATGATCTGGCCAATCAAAATCGGCATTGGGCTCAGGCTGTGCCTCGTCTTGGCAGCCAGACTTGGGCCTTGTGCTCGCCATCCATTTTGCTCGTGGTTGACGACGAGGATATACACTAAAGGCTCGACAATTTTGAACGACATACTCGGAGTGATCCGGCTGGCTGGGGATGCGATGCCGCATGCCATGTGCCGTGTGCCATATACCCAGCATCAAAGACACGGACAACGTGTCTTCTGACCAACCTGTGCGGAAGCCGAGTCCAGATTTCGTATGATTCCGATTCAAACCTGTGTATCTCTCTTCCTTCTCTGCTGATCGTGGTCACGTCATCGTTGATGGACTATTACTACTGACACCGTCGTGGTGAGTGATGTACTACTCAAGTAGAGTACAGTTCCTATGTCAAAAAGTCCGAGTTCCTTCCTTGGACAAAAATCACGTGTTTTAACACCCCCCCCCCCCGGGGGTTGTCATTGTCTCGCGTGATGGTTATTGGTCGGTGTGAGGGACTGGGATGGTCGAGTACGATTGCTGCGACGGCGACGGCGACTGTAACTACGAGTGAGATGGCATCGAGTCAGACCTGACCACAACTACGAGGTAGTGTAGTGGTAGAACGCCCAACGACTCTGATGGCATCGAGTCAGACGTGACATGGCCACAACTAGTAACGTGTGGGGCCCCGAGTCCAAAGGCGTCGAGTCAGATATTTACTGTACCTTAGGGTGATGGTCATTTTTGTGTGTTAGTTAGTAGGCAGCCTTCGACAGCGCGGGCGGCGAGTCAGACGTCCCTCACCGCACCGCACCATGCCGCACTACAATTACTCGTACAACCATGCCGTACTCATACGGTCGGCATCACGGATATTCAATGATCACCCCAATGACGAGTTCAGTGGAAAGGGGAGAGCACCGAGCTCTATAAGTCCGGCTTGACTTGACTCGGGCCCGTAAACCGTATATAGCCCCTCGGCGGGCAACCCATCCCCTATTTTGCTGCTTGTTATCCGTTGTCCCCTTATCAGGCACTGCCAGTGCGGAGCGGAGGCCACAATTACTGTCGTGGTACATGGCACCTCGTAGTCACGGCCCACAAAACGTTCATTCATTCATGCAACTCTCGGCAGCCTCGCTTCTTCTGCGGACGAGGCTGGAGTGGCTGAGAGGTGAGGCTGAGGTTTACCCCGCACCTTGCATGAGGGGTTTCAAACTGTGCACTCACCACGGGATACAGGTAACAGACAAACAGGAAGACCACCAGCGGTATTCTACCGTAGATAAATGGTTCGTTGAGTATATAATTGAATAACTGAGTGATTGAACGATTGTCTGACCCGACCGACTGCCTGACTGCCTGACTGTTTGACTGAGTGAATGACTGACTACCTGACAGGCGACTGTATGCGGCGGCGAAATCCCAAACCCAACCGCAGCCGAAGCCGCAGCCGCAGCCGCAGCCGCAACGACGTCAGGCTCAAAGGTCGTCCGTGAACGACATTGACAGTGTGTTATTGCAGCCCAGCACGGTCCTACCCTTCTCCTATGTCCTTGTTCCCATCATTTTCCATGGCTTGAGCGAAGAGACGGTTCTCTGCAACTCCGACGCCCCGACGTTACCGGTACGCCTGCATCCGGACCTGGACCTTGTCCCGCTCCTCCCGTTCCCAATTTCAATACTTTTGTGTGTTTCTTGACGGTAGATCCCACGCTACATCGCTTGCTTCTCCACAATCTTGGAGAGCTTCGGCTTGATCAGATGGAGTCCACGCAGGCGGTGGACAAATCGTTTCTTCTCCGTCATCGCCATCGGCAGTCTGTCGGTCAAGACGGGACGTGTTAGCGCTCACTTCATCGGACACAAGAACATAATGGTCGATACTCACGCTCCCTCGATCTCAAACTCCTCTTTGGGCCGGTGCTTGGGCGCCTCGTCCTCGCACCACATGTAATACTCGACGGCCTCGTCCCACTGCCGCTGGCTGTCCTCCAGAGGCTGATGGGACAGACGCAGCGAGAATCCCGAGAGAACGCCCAAGCCCTCGGGCACAAGCTGGTAGCGTCTCAGGTAGGCCCAGACGTACAGGCGGCGGAGCTGGTGCTCGTCGTCGTTGGGCGCCATGGCGTACCAGATCATGGCGTGGATCATGCCCAGGGCGGTGCCGACGGACCGCAACATCTCGTAATGCATGGCCTGCTCGATGCTCATGCCCTGGAACCGGGCCTGGATGCGGCGACGTGCTCCAGTCAAGAGGAGGTCGAGTCTCTTGTTGTGAGCGGCCAAAAACCTGATGTACAGATCGTCGTCCTCGGTGCTTCCGTCGTAGAACTGGCGGATCCGCGTGATTTCCTGGTGGAGAGTCTCTCGCTCCTTGTCGATGTTGGAATCCATGTTGGTGCTGGTGGGCAATGACAACGGCAGGTATGTGATAAGGCTGATGACCACGACGGACGAGACAAGAACCACGCCACGCCAGTCGATGGTAGGGATGGAAAGGGGCCTGGAAGATGGGCTGGCAACGGGGAAGTGAAGGAGCGGCAATTGACGGGGGCGATGAGTGATGGGTGCTCCGAATGAAGGGCAGGATCCTCAGATGCCCTTGGGCACATGGAATGCGTACTGAGATTGATGCTGAACCCTGACTTTCATCTTCCCCTCTCTCTTCCCGTCTCCGATGCCCTGTTCTGGGTTTTCAGGGCCCTTTTTTCCTGTCACCTCTCAATAGTCTCAAGCCCTCGCATCCCTTGCATCAAGCCACCATTCGCAAAATGCAGCTGGAGGCCATCGGTTCAAATGCCATGGGATGGAAGGATTGACGTACTGTACGTACATGCTGCAGGACACGAATCCCGCGGATTGGCCGCCCGAGCCTTTTCAGTTGCATGACATGGCATGAGAAGAAGGAAGGGCGGGTGCGGACACCTTGGATTCCCAAGCACAGACCACCATGAGGCCCCCATCCAAAGTCTGTACTGTGCTGGAATGCGGAGCCCCATGCAAGTCAACAGGGTCGATGATCCCCGGGCAACGCGAGCTCTGTCCATCAGGAAGCAAAGTGGTCGGCGATCAAATACGAGCTGGCTTGCTGGGTCTGTTTTTTTTTTGTTTTGTGGAGGCACACTTCCTGTTGAATCAAGGCTGTGTTCGGGCTTTCTGGCTGCTAGCAGCAAAAGCGAAAAAGAAAAACAAGAGAGGTTGAGAAAAGAGGTCATAGCGTGAGTTCAGCGAGCAGAGCCCAGTCAATGCCTGTCTGTCTTCTGCCCGCCAGCCAGTAAATTTGGCCCCCCCAGAGATCTGGCAGCCCCCCCATCAGATTGCCAGTGTTGGGCCAGCCGACCGAACGACCAACAGATCGTCCTCTCCATTTGGGAGAGACAAGCGAACTCGCGCATCCCAATCTGGCTCTCAGGTGACAAGGATTGTCTGTATTACCAGCGCTGTTAGTAGTATGGCGTCGAATAATAAGTCGGTGTCGAGCCCGAAGGGGGTGGGAGATCCACCTGCTGGGGGGAGCAGGAAGAGAAAGAGAGTTTTGGGAAAAAATCCCATTTCAAATGACAGAGATTTCAAGAGTCATTTTATTGATTGTTGGTGCTTGGCGCTGGATCTCACGCATGCATGACATGGGTCCGAAGGGGGCCCCGTGATTAAGGGTCCCTTGCAGCAACGCTGGGGGTTGGAAGCGAGTAACATTGCTTGGATCAACATCTGATTGACCTCAGGAGAGACCCGAGACACACACAGAAAGAGAGAGACAGAGAGAGAGGCACACACACACACACACACACACACACACACACACACACACACACACACCAACGACACCTACCGAGAGCTGAGACTGCCAAGGCACTACGAAGGG